AAGTAATATTTAGTTCACATACTTCCATTGTATAAACCTAACTGTTTAAGTAAAGATTTCAATCCTTCTTTTATTTTACAGAGACAGCACTGGGAGCTTTCAACCAAATTGTGTCTTAATGCAATCAGCACAGGAGCTCATGTACTGAAGGGAAAAGTCTACATGAATTACATGATAGATCTCAGAGTAACTAACAGCAAGTTGTACAGGAGAGCGATCAACATATTACAGGTATCAGTAATGCATTTTCTGTACTGCTCTCTTTATACTTAGAAATTATATATCATGCCCTAGCAACCACAATGCTAAAAATGCTAAAACTAATACCAAGGAAATACCTTGGTAACCACACACCAATACCCTGACATTGTTGCAAAGAGTTCTGCATGGCCAAAAACCAATCATATTTTCTTCAGATCATTTGTCTGTCTTTCAATTGTGAAAAGTATTTGAGCTGGAACTGTAATATGAGCCCTTTGTGTGCTTTCTGCATGGTCATTTAATTATATACCATCACTGTCAGCGGTTCACAGGCTGCTCCAAAACCCAGTGTGAAAGTGCTCTACTGAGAGCCATCTACAGCACAGATGACCTGACTGAAGACATGACAGCAGCAGATGTCCACACACACACAGATGCAGCTAACACACGGGAGCGAGTAAGAACTGGTTTATTTATCTTGGACATCTTTAAAGGCAGACAGAAATTTTTAAGATTAAAAAAAAAGGTTACATAGCCCAACACTTTCTTTTAAAGGTGTTTTTTTCACACAAACAAAGAATAGGTAACATTTTACAATAAAGTTCTATATTAGTTAACATTTGTTAACGTTAAAGTCCAGTGTTGTGACGTATTTCCAAGTAAAACAGAATATTGAATAGAGGGTGGGGTTTTACTTTATAGCGATAGCGCACCTCCATCTCTTGCTCATAGCAGACTGACGGTTGGAGGGGAGTGGTTAAAGGGATAGTTCACCCAAAAATGAAAATTAGCTCATGATTTACTCTCCCTCAAATCATCCATTTGACATTCTTCTTTCAGAAAAATACAGTCGGAGTTCTTGGCTCTTCCAAGCTTTATAATTTACAGTAGTTCAATTCAATTCAATTCAAACAACTTTATTTATACCCGTAGGGCAATTCAGTTTTAGCCTATCTGTCGTATCAACAAGACAAGAAGACAACACATATGCAGTATAATACGCCTTATTCACAGCAGCGCCATCTTTGATTTTTGATGAGAATGTAAGCGAGGCTGTGAGGGATAGACATGCATCTCTTCAATGGGCTGTACTGTTATTTAATGTGTTTTCGGATTGTTCTGCTCATGAAACACTGTAAAAATATATTTCTACGAAACTTTAGTTGACAAAAAACTCCTGACAATGTAAGCTGTGGAAAATTGTAAGTAATCTAGGAGCTTTATTCAGCTTTTTACAGCGGATGCCATTGGAAACGCGGTAAGTCTATCCCTCACTGCCTCACTTTCATACCTGTCATGGCGCTGCTCTGAAGAAGGTCTACTATGGCAGTGAATTGGTGTTTCTTTTTTGAAGTCCATAAAAGTGCATCTATCCATCATAAACGTGCTCCAAATGGCTCCGGCGGGTTAAGAAAGGCCTTCTGAAGTGAAGCAATGTGTTTGTGTAAGAAAAGTCATTATAAAGCTTGGAAGAGCAAGGACATTTTTTTAATATAACTCCGATTGTATTTGTCTGAAAGAAGAATGTCATGTATTGTACCACTAGGATGAATTGAGGGTGAGTATATCATGGGTTAATTTTCATTTTTGGGTGAACTATCCCTTTAAGGATACTCAACCCAAGCTGTCAAACCGACGTCATCAGAGAAGGAAAACCATTCCAGAGCAAAAAATTTTTTGTCGTGATAAATCAAAATCTGAAACATTTGCTTAAATTTTTCAGATTTTGATTTATCACGACAAACTATTTTTTTCTGTGTATTAATGAACTTGCAGGGGAGGGGTTAATTGTTCACCACTAGATTAGTAATGTGTGCTGACAACGTAAATATTTGGAATGGGTCAAAGGTGTCCAACACTCAAATTAGGATTTTTTCAGTCATTTCACTGGCCTTGAAGAAACTCTTCACAGTTTAGCTCCAACTCAAACCTGTAAGGAGGTTTCTAGTAATCCTGAAGACCTTGATTAGCTCAATGGATCTGGATCTGGTGTGTTTGATTAGGGTTTGAGCAAAACTGTGCAGCTGTGGCCCTCCAGGAATTGAGTTTGAGATCACTGGTATAAAGTACAGTGGAATCCATGTGTACCAGATGTGGGCCGGATTTGAGCCGACACTCTGTTGCTGCCAGGATAAATACCTTTACTGTTGTCTGGGAACAAAACCAACAAGACATCAACATGGTGACATCGAGTGATTAAAGATTAAAGCCAGAGTCACCATGCAGAGTTGCAAAAAATGTGAAGAATTGTTTTCAAACAGGTTTCCCAAATACTATTGCCAGCCAAAAAAAAACAGCCCCGCCCCAAACACACACCACTGGTTGAGTAGAGCAGAGGTTTGACGGCACCACATTGTTTTTATGCTCTGAATGGCTTAGTTGTCTTTGCATATTAAATGATTGGAGAATATATTATTATTATAAAAGCAATGTGTTATTTATAAAGGCAGATTTAACTGTTATACCTGATATGTCCTGCACTGGCAGGTGGTCCCGACTGCACTGGTGATGATCCAGAGTGGCTGCACTCATGCTGAGGCACAGCGTCATTTGGACCGTCATCCTGTAATTCGAGATGCAGTGAGCGCCTGCCTCAACTCCTCAAAAACAAGAGCACTGTGGACTGAACACACCATAAAATGATGCAGAAATATTACAATAATGTATTGGTTTCATTCATTCTTTGAAAATGTGCAAATTTAATAATAAACGAAAAGAATTATGACCCAGATTCTTTTCTGTGAGGTTTACCTACAAAATTGTTTACTTTATCCTGTGATTCGAAATGATGCATTCTCACAATGAAAGGCCATTTTTTAAGATACGGGGTTTTAAGTTGCTTGGCTTTTGTGTAACTGGTAACAATAAGGTCTCGTTTATTAACAGTGAACTAACCATGAGCAATACATTTGTTACCGTATTTGTTGATCTTTGTTAACATTAGTTAATCAAAATACAGCTTTGCATTGTTTGTTCATGTTAACAAGATTAGTAAATGTAGAAATTAGCATTAACAAAGATTAATAAATGCTGTTTAAGTGCTGTTCACAATTACTTCATGCCAACTAATACTAATGGTAATGCTAACCTTATTGTAAAGTGTTACTGTGTAACTACAAAGCATCTACAACAACTCCTTATCATACAAATGAAAATCTATGAAGCGTGCTACAGCCTTTTGTTTTTGCTTAAGAAAACTCAATTGGATGACATCAGGGAAATTCTGATCATTTTTTCACCAAATACTTCCTTGACCTAACTGTAACCAATAGGAACTTGCCTGGGTACAGTGAGTTGCTATTGCAGTGAGCTAGTCATTCCATTGTACCATAATTCTGCTCGTATGCACATGGCATGAGAAGAAATGACTGGTGAACATGGGGAATTCTTCGTGTAAACGCTGCTGCCGGTGTTGCCAAACGAAGAAAGAACAGCCGTCCATCATCCGTAACAGGGTCAAGTCAATCCACGACTATCCCTCACGCACAATATATGATCTAAATCTGAAGAAAGGAGATGTTCTGGAAGTGATATCGGAGACCGATTACTGGTTGTTTGTGAGGAGACAAACAGCTAAGGCTGACGGATCTAAACCTCAACTTGGATATGTGCCTAAAGACTTCGTCAAGCCGCTGGATAGCGTGGAGGCAGAGTTGTAAGTCTTTGAGTTTTTCTTTTGACCATTTTGTGCTTGTGTGAATGAATAATAAACAGAGTAATCTCAAGCTCTGGGGTTTGAATCACTGCCCTGAATGATACTGGAATCCCATCTTTCCAGTTTCACAAGTTTTGGTGAAACAGCTACAGTGCTGTTATTGATCAGCTTGTGTTTCTCTGTAGAAATGACTCACCAAAAACTCTAAGATATTTGCTATCGGGATGAATCTCATGAAAACTGTCATGAGACAAGTATACATTGAAAATGCATATGTAAATTGTAATTGAGTTTTTTTTCTTTGAGATTCATCCATTAGATTGTTTAGTTCATTGTTCAGTTAATTTGTGTACAATGTTGTTACACCACATAAATTGGACACAAATAAAAATGAACGTCATTATCAATTGATTTCAGATGGTATTTTGAGAATGTTAAAATGCGTATAGAGGCCAGGAGATGTCTGCTGAGACCCCAGAATCATGAAGGTGCATTTCTCATCTGGAAATGTTGTGAGAATAACAATTACTACTTATCAGGTACGATATGTGTGATTCACATACTCACACACAATGTCTCAAGCCTCTGCTGCCTTTAATTTCACTGTATTTTTTGCTTTCAAATTACATTGAAAAGAGAACTATGAACAAGCCTTAAGAGCAGCTGAATAACATTTTCTGTAATGATTTATTGTAAAGTGAGGAATGGACCTCATGTACGACATTACCGGATCAAGCAGAGGGAAAACGAAAAGCAGTTTTTCCTTGTTCATCATACAACTTTCCAGACCTTGCGTGAGCTGGTAGAGTTTTACTCTAAAAATGAAGGCGGACTCTGCACAAAGCTTCATGAACCCTGTGTGAAGGTCAGTGAAGAGTTTGAACCTACAGGTTATTGAAAGCAAGGCATCCTAACAGTTTTTTCAGCTCTCTTCCAATCTGTTCATTACTCTTCTAGCTGGACCAGCCAGCTCCTCTTACTCTGTCATTTGACTCCAAATGGGAGGTAGAGAGAAGTTCACTAGAAAAAATAAAGAAGCTCGGCAGTGGGGAGTTTGCCGATGTGTGGCAGGGGCTCTGGAACAAGACAACAGATGTGGCCATCAAAGAGTTCAAAGGTAACCAACAAATCGGTTAATTCAGTTGCTCTCAACGGGTTTTACTTCAGGTCCCATATTTTACGTTGGAAATTGAGTGGCTAAACAGTGTTTATCATACAAAAGCAAACAAACTGCACAACTTGGCTAGACATAGACATGAAATTCCATCATTTTTTTACCCTTTACATTTTTTCTGTAAACGGTAAATAAATAATCTGCTGAAAGGGATGGTTGATCATGTCATTACTTATCCTCTAGTTGTTTCAAACTATTTGAGTTTCTTTCTTCTGTTGAACACAAAAGAAGATATTTCAAAGAATGTTGGTGACCAGACAGTTGATGGCACCCATTGACTTCCAAAGTAAGTATACTATATGGCTAGTTCTGTCATGAAACTCTTCTTGGCTCCGGCTGATGGGTCCTTTACGCAAGCTGATGATATCTCTGTATCAACTACTTGGCACAAGATGATAGAGCTGGTAAGTCCCGCCCCTTCAGCTAGCCCCGCTGGACCTCTAGATTGAAAAATCGTCAATGCAAGTAAATGAGAGAAAGTAATTATTTTCTAATCCCGTTTGAATTTTGCAATGAATGTGAACATATGTTGTCTCTGAATTTTTTATATAACGTTTCGTGTAAAGAATGCCACTATTTAGCGGGTAGAATTTTCATACGGTTAGACTTTGTGTGAGAGCACTTTGTGGACTACAACTCTTTCGACGTGTTTGATATACATCACACCCACCAGCACACGGATCCCGCTAAACATGCCTGTCTTTGGTGCACTTCACCGCCTTCTTTCAGGGAGAGGACAAACTAGTTGAGCGTGGTGAAAACCATGATTTGTGGAGGGAAAATGTGTTATGAGGCGACGTCACATTTGGGACGTGTAGTCTTTCTCGTTATGTCCATTCCACAACTGCTAGCCAAAGAATCATACAATATACTGTCAAACTCGTTACATGAGAAATTATATAAAAAATTCACAGACAACATATGTTACATTCATGGCACAATTCAAACGCGATCAGAAAATAATTATTTTCTCTCATTCACTTGCATTGACATTTTTTCAACCTAGAGGTCCAATTGGAGTTTTACGGATGGGCGGGACTTACCAGCTCTATTGGTTCATGTCGCATCTGTCATCGTCTAAAACCCTCCAAATTCCCCAGCCCCACCTGTAAAGATCTACTTGGGGTAATTCATTTATGTTATTTGCAGTGTTGTAGTCGAGACCACCTCACTCGAGTCCGAGTCGACACCGAGACCAGAGAGAGTCGAGTGCGAGTCAAGACCGAGTCCATAGAGAGTCGAGTCCGAGTCGAGACCGAGACCAGTGAGGGTTGATTACCTAATTTACTTTTATTTACTTAGAGAAATCCTTTTTTTTTTTTTTACTGAATTTACTTAGAGTTTAAAAAATATGATCAGTTTAGGGTAAAAAGGCCACATAGTAGGTGGTGTTAAAAGTAATTTTATTACAATTTGTCATGCGCAGTTGCGCACTAGAAAATCACCAATCACTGGCCGTGTCAATCAATTTAAAGAAATATTTTATTAACATACATTAATAATCATGAAAAATATTTTTAATTGAACTCGAGTGGACTCGGGAAAAATTCCGAGTCCTAAAAAAAAAATGTTCGAGTACGAGTCAATTCCGAGTCCAAATGGACACGAGTCCATGACGAGACCAAGACCATTAAAATATGGTCTCGAGACCGAGTCCGAGACGAGTCCGAGTCTCGAGTACTACAACACTGGTTATTTGTGCAGCAGCGTATCAGATTTGAATTGGTTGCTGCAAATTCCTGTACTTGTTCTGCAGTAGCAGCAATAATCTACAACAACAGCAAATAAGACCAAATACATTAACATAGTCATATCCATTAGCATGCTAAAAATCTTCAGAGAGTTGTCATGATAGAACTTCTTTTGTGTTCAACAGAAGAAAGAAACTTTTACAGGTGTGACCACCTGTCTAATATTCTGTTGGCCAAATCAGGGCCGACCAGGCATGGACTATACAAGAGCCCTGAATATGTCCTCTAGTATCTAGCCCCAAGCTGTAAACTGCAGATCCTGCAAGTCCTGTAGGTTATGAGGTGGCACCACTGTGGATTGAACTTGTTGGTCCCGTACATCCCATTGGATTGAGATCTGGGGAATTTTTAGACCAGGAAAACACCTTGAGTTCTTCATCATCTTCCTCAAACCACTCCTGAACAATGTGCGCAGTGTGGCAGGTGTATTATCCTGCTGAAAGAGGCCACTATTGTCATGAAGGGGTGTACCTGGTCTGCAACAGTGTTTAAGATCGGTCCCACCTGTCAAAGTGAAATCCACATAAATGGCCGGACCCAGGGTTTCACAGAAGAACATTTCCCAGAGCATCACACTCCCTCCACCGGCTTGTTGCCGTCACTTCTCCGGGTAAACGGCGCACTCGTACACGGCTGTCCACTTGATTACATTTAAAAGAATATGGGACTCATCAGACCAGGCGACCTTCTTCCACCTCACCAAGTTACAGTTCCAATGCTCGCGTTGCCCATTGTAGGCTCTTTCGATGGTGGACAGGGGTCATCATGAGCACTCTGTCTGGTCTGTCAGAAGAATAACCATCTTTTAAATTCTGTGCGACGTGTGCCACAGTAGACATTCTATTGACTCGGACCAGACGGGATAGTCTTCTAGCCTTCTGCGGCCAACACACCTGTAACTGGTTTCTGGTTTGTCCCTCCTTGGATAACTGTTGGTAAATTCTCACCACTGCTGACCTGGAGCAACACACAAGCCTCACCGTTTCAAAGATACTCTGACCCATTCACCCAATATCAATTTGGTCCTTGTCGCTCAGATCTTTGTTCCTGCCCATTTTGCCTGCATCAACACATTGATTACAATAACTCATTGTTTGCTTACCATTTATTCTACCCAGACATTAACATAAGGTCTTATTAGGAGATGGTTAATGATGTTTGCTTCATCGGTGACTGTTCAGAATGTTTTGGATCATAAATAATTTTTCATGGTTTGTTTTATAATGTTTTTTTGTCTGTACATTTTTACTTGCAGTTGTCAATTATCCATATATCAAAACAGAGATTGACATCATGAAAGAGCTGCATCATGAGCGTTTGCTGAGACTCTATGCTGTGTGTACCACTAGTAAACCTGTCTGTTTAGTGACAGAGCTCATGAAAAATGGCTCTTTAAAGACAATGCTCATCAGTAAGTGAACTAATATTAACTCGTATGCAGACAATAAACACCACATCTTAATTGACACATTGCTTTTACAGAAAAAAATAAAATGATACAATTTATATTCACATGAGCTTATATCTTTCCCCAGGCCACAAAGAGAAAAAAGATCTTGAGTTTTCGCTCATGATGGATTTTGCTGTCCAGGTAACTTGATTTCTTTGAGAGTATTTTGAGAGTAGGGGCAAATATCAAATATCAAAAATCATATGACTAGTTTTTCTTAAAGGGATTGTTCACCCAAAAATTTAAATTCTGTCATCAATTACTCATCCTCATAGTTCATGTCCTCATGTCTCTTCAGGAAATTTTGGCAAAACTGCTCAAATTAAATGGATTAGATTTATGATTTCCCTAATGTACTTTTTGAAGCATCAAAGTGGTCATTGTGTAGCTAAACTGGCTTGGCTTTAAAATAGATCTTCATTTGTGTTCCGAAGATAAACGAAAGTCATACGGGTTTGGAACGGCTTTAGAAATTAATGACAAAATTTTCATTTTGTGGTGAACTAACCCTTTAAAAACAATTAAGCTTAACAGGAAACTCCTACAATTATATTTATTATTTACATTTGTAGGGCAGGATTTTATCGATTAGGATTGTGAAAAGTGTCTTTTGACAAATAAGAGTTGTTGGAAAAGGGTTAAATATAACCAATATTTATCAATATAAAGCAGTTTAGACTTGTTACTGTGTTGGTTTAGACGCCCCGACACAGCAACATTGATATTGATGTTAGGGATAGAGATGGCTTGTCCATTATTCTTGCAATTCCGGTCGATGCTGTCATGCGAGATTGCCTGCTCCTCTATATTCATATTGATGTTTCCTCATTTCCTCGCAACCCATAACCCAAAAATCGATCATCATGACGAACATATCAATTCTCTGAATGCACTTATGGTGAGGAACAAGGAAAGAGGAAGCCCTCATCGTACACATTAAACCATAGCAAGATAAAACAGCACCACAAAGACTATCAGCCTAGTCTTATTTTCATCAGGGAATATTTTTTTTTTAGTTGATGCTAAACCAAGGCTATGCCTACAGTATGTCTTGAATACTAGGAGAGGGATTCAAAAATGTTGGGCGGGACTTGATTTTGATTGGATGGTTTTGGTTTTCTATTGGTGGATCTCATGTGAGTGACAGGTTGTCAAATTATTGTAATTAATGATTATGAGGGCATAAACACTGAAATACTCTTTATATTTGTGACATTGATGAGTACTATAAAACCAACTAAAAATGTGACTTTTAAAAGTTTTTGTCAAATATTGGCAAGTATAAGAAATTTGGGGAAACAGTTTAGCCATATCTAATTATTGGGGCGGACTTTTCCCTTCAATGTCTATGGTGATTAAGGCCCTGTGGTAAACTAAGTCTTTATTTTGCTGAATCTCTCAGATTACAGAAGGAATGGCTTACATTGAGAACAAAATAGTTCACAGGGATCTGAGAGCTGATAACATTCTGCTTACCGACATGCAATGCTGCAAAATAGCCGATTTTGGACTCGCACAAATTAATCTACCAGGAAACAGGATTTCATCAGGTGAGATATTTGATACGTACCTTCATGGAAGCAAATGATAAGACAAACAAAACCTACAACAGTTCTTTCTCATGTACCTGCAGATGTTAGGATCCCTGTAAAATGGATGGCCCCTGAGATTTTCGATGACCAAGAGTACACAAGCAAAAGTGACGTTTGGTCTTTCGGCATCCTTTTAACGGAAATTGTCACGTATGGAGATGAACCGTACCCTGGTAAACATGCTTAATACATAAATATTTAAGTAAAATATAAAAAATGAAACACTAAACATTCATAAATGTTCTAAACATAAATGTTCTAATGCTTTGTTAATTTTCCCATAAGGTTATTTAAAGGGATACTCCACTTTTTTTGGAAATAGGCTCATTTTACAATCACCCCAGAGTTAAAAAGTTGAGTTTTACCGTTTTCGAATGTATTCAGCCGATTTTCTGATATTATATTATGGAATACTATGGAAGTCAATGAGACCAGAAACTGTCTGGTTATATTCTTCTAAATATCAGAAAATCGGATGAATACATTCGAAAACGGTAAAACTCAACTGTTTAACTCTGGGGTAATTGTAAAATGAGCCTATTTCCAAAAAAAGTGGAGTATCCCTTTAAAAATTAAAAAAAATTCTTGGTTATGTGAACATTAAAGAAAACATTAAGGGAACGTTCCATTTTATAATTTTGCAAACGTGGGAACGTAACTTTTGAATGTTCTCTGAAGGTTCTCAAACTAGTAATAACATGCAACTAAAGCGTTTCAGAAAATAAAATCCATTAGTGATGTATAAATAACATTGCTGTGCTAATGTTCTGCAAATGGTATTAAAAAACAGGAATATTCTATTAAAGTTACTGACCGAACGTTTGTTAATAACTTGAGAGAACCTTGCCAGAACGTTATAGCCAAAGTTCTGAGAACTTTCCCCGTTTAATGGGATTGCATCTCACCCAACTCTGGTACATTTCTTCCTTCTACAATCTCAGGTCAAAACAAAATGACATGTGTTCGAGCCATCAAGAGAGGAGAGCGTATGCAGCGACCGCCTGACTGCCCCGAAGCGCTCTACGACATTATGCTGCTGTGCTGGAGGCCAAACCCTGAAGACAGGCCAACATTTACGGAGCTGCAGGAGAAGCTGATGGCTCTTATACATGAGCCTGTTACTGAACTGGAGTAGACTGTAGATCCGAGAGAGTTGAGAATCTTTTGAGCATGTAGTAACTTATGTAAACAACACGAGGTAATCGCACAATTTATTTTTACTGAAATGCATTATAAAGCAATACAATCAAAATTTAAATCAACAAAAAGACAGAACAAGACGTCTTGTATTGATTTGTAAATACTCATTAAGGTAAATACTTAATATGCATTAAGGTACGAGAGGCTGTGCTGTATCGTGACTATCGTATAATACGGAATCGTTCCGTATTTGTCACATAAAAGTCTTGTTCCGTATTGAACTGATACGGAACGCACTTTGTTCCGTATTTTTGAGAATCAGTTCAGTGCAAATCCATGACGGACACCTCTTCTAATATATCTCAGACAGACTATGAATGAAGACCTCACCAGTCGAGCCACTCCACTCGTGATCGACTAGTTTTACCGCAAATTAGTTAAAATATCATCTAATCTAGAGCGATCTTGCCTGCGAGCTTGAGCTTCTAACGGCGCGGACGCAAAACCAGGACTGGAGTCAAAGCACATTCCTCTCTGAACTCTAAGCGTTCTGTTATCACTCCGATTTTGTCCACTACGGGTTTTCCAGTCTCACTCACAGGAAAAACTGTTCCGCGTTCAATTAATTTTAAAAGATAATCTTATGTTTTACTGACTGCTCCCCTGCAAGATTTTTTTTTTTTTTTTTTTTACATGTTAAGGTTAAATGCATCAGTCTCGTGCTCTTTGATCAAAATTAAGAGCTTCAACCCATGAACTGCTCGTTAAACAAAGATAAAGCATTGATTTGTACTAGAAAAATAAAGAGGGCTCAAAGATCTTTTTAGTTATGAGAGGCTCAGTCTACTACATTACATTATCAATGGTGTTTTAGGATGCCAAACAATTATTATAATAATGTAATAATGATTTATATAATTATTCCTATGACGTAAAATGCATATAGCCTATATAGGCTACTATATAAATGAAAATGAATATTTCAAAAGTATATTTTAATCAACATTACACTAATATAGGAAAATTAAAATACTTTTGTCCCATTTCTACACTTACAAGAAATAAACCCTTGAGCTTTTATTTAGGAGAAAACAGATAGCCATGCTGATCGCGTGATTAATTCAACTAAAAAAAAATTATAAACTAAATAAATCCATGGTTCATTGTTGGCAAAAGGATCATGATAGCCTTCATATATCTTTACATGGTACAGTCATTGATTAGGCATACTTTGCTATTCTATAAATTAATATAGGCCTAATAAGTGCCCCAATAACCTGGAGTGTTTCACGTCACATTTTAGTACTGGTACGGTACACTTGGAACCTCAACAGACCAGGTACCATTTAAAGCGAGCCGTATACCGTACCGTACCATGCAGTGGAATGCGCCAAAGCGTGCTGTAAAATCTGAGGGATTTATTCTATTGTGTGCACTAGTTCAGGTGGGTGCGTGTTCGCACTGGTATGTCGGTCAAGACATCTGAGTCAGGATTCAGTTCAAGGATTGAATGAAATTATTTAAACATGACAGCACAGTCAGACCACAGGGCATTTATTGTTCAACAGTCTCATTTAGTGGACATTTACGTAGAAATGTGGTCTGTGAATGACAAAAGAACAATGAATAGACAATAATCGCAATAACTTTCAACAATTTGCAAGATAAAATAATATCCTTAAAGTATAACATATACTAAACAAACATTGTTGCAATACCATGTAGTGCCACAAAGTGGCGCATGAAACGCACAGAATAAAGTAAGTGAAAGGTCATTATATAGTTGCTGCGTTATCAAATGGCACGGTAAATCTGACGACTGGCAAGAAATCAATAATCCAAATGTACAATACTAAATACTATAAATGTATTACCTACAAATATCCATTAAATACTAAAGGAAGAATTAACATTAAGCAGCAATACAGAAGATGAACACGAGAATCACTATACTGCTCGTGCAAGTGAATCTGACGATGATAAACCAACAAGTCATCACTTGACTAACACAAAGTCAACTAATAAAGAACAGAGAATCGCACTTACTTATTTTCAATGACTCACTAAAGGAATGTCCACTTTATGGAGAAGTTTTACCGTTGTTTCTGCCTCAGGAAACTATATCTCTTCAACGGGTGCACACTGACTGACGACACACAGTGGAGAGTGCGCTTATTGGCTGGAGATTGCGCTTGTTGACTGTAGAGCATGTTCATTGGCTGTGTCTTCTTAACACTGCCGCCCCCAAATATGCGGAGCATATTTGTTCTTTATAGGCTTAGTCAATTTGTAGGAGATAAGTCCTGGACACATCTTCGTCTGAGAAAGCAGGAAGGGGAATCAAACGAGCAACAGGTCGCATGTAGATCTTATCATTGATTTGGATCTCAGCTGCTCTAATACATCCATCTGAACCAGGGAAGGTTTTTATAACCTTGCCCAATAACCACAAAGCACGTGGGACCTGTGGGTCTACAACCATAACTACATCTCCAGTGGAAATGTTTTTAACCTCGGAATGCCACTTTCCACGAGACTGTAGTGAAGGTAAGTAGTGACGGATGAAACTCGACCAGAACTGGTCAGCCAATACCTGGCTCTGCTTCCATCTCCGCCGCCCCATGAGTTCAGTAGCTGGATAGACCACTGGTGGTAAAGAACTATCTGGCCGCCCCATGAGCAGGTAGTTAGGCGTAACAGGATCAACGTCAGCTATGTTACTTGAGGTGTAACCTAGTGGCTTACTGTTTAAAATGCCTTCAACTTCAATTAGGACTGTCAGGAGCACTTCTTCAGTCACAACCTGTGAGCCAAGGGTGGTGCGTAGGGCATTTTTCACAGACCGAATCTCTCTTTCCCAGGTTCCGCCAAAGTGTGGAGCATTTGGTGGGTTGAAGCGGAAGGATATTTTCCTTTTGGCCAGCTGTTGTTGTAGTTGAGGGCTGAGGGAAGAAAATGCTTCTTGCAGCTCTCTTTCTCCTCCACGGAAATTGGTGCCCTGGTCAGAGATTAACTCAAATGGTGTGCCACGCCGGGCTACAAACCTCCTTAAGGCCATCAGGAATGAATCTGTATCCATAGAAGTGAGAAGATCCAGATGTATACTTCTCGTTGTTAGGCACTTAAAGATTACTCCCCACCTCTTCTCACAGCGTCTGCCGATTTTAATTTGAAATGGTCCGAAACAGTCCATGCCAGTACTGTAGAATGGTGGTTTATGTAGTCTCAAGCGGGCTGGAGGTAGATCTGCCATTTTGGGAACAACTGGCTTACTCTTCCACTTTTGGCACTCTTTACATTGATGCTGCTGCTTGCGTATGGCTTCACGTCCTCTCAATACCCAAAAGTTTCTCCTCATTTCTGCAAAAACCCTATCGGGTCCTGGGTGGCAGAGCTTGCTGTCGTAATCCTGGATTAGTAATTTAGTGCTGAAATGATGAGGATGTAGAACTATAGGGTGGATTACTGATGATTCCAATCCTTCAGCCCGTCGCAGACGGCCACCAACTCTGACAAGCTGACTGGACGTGTCAAATTCTGGTGCAAGGGTAAGTAACCGACTGGTTGACTGTACAGGTTTCCCATCTGTAAGTAATCTGTACTCATCAGGGAAACTGTCCCTCTGGGATTTTTGGAGGATGAGCAATTCCGCAGCTAGATAATCTGCTGCTGAGAGCTGTTCTGTTCCTTTAAGGTTCTGGGCTGTTGCCTCTACTAGCTCCTTCCAGGAACTGTAAGTAGCAGGATCAGGAATGCTTGGGAGATTAATCTCTGTTGAAATGCCACAGAATATTCCCTTACGATGCTCTGCTTTATCCTCCGGAGGTTGTAGATTAGGAGTTATTGGCCATGATGACTCAGGTTCAAGGAGGAATGATGGCCCTTGACTCCATCTGTTGGGCACTGACAGATCTTTAAGTGTTTTACCCCGGGTCAGATCATCGGCTGGGTTCTTATCAGAGTCAACGTACCGCCAGGTACACCCTGCTGTGAGCTCTTGGATCTCCGCTATCCTTGTACCGACAAATACCTTGAATCGGTATGATTCTGAGTTGATCCAGGCGAGTACTGTGGTGGAATCTGTCCACATGAACACTTGGCTGATTTCTACAGTAAGTTCAGTCTTAAGCAGTTTGGCTAGCTGAGCACCATTCAGGGCTGCGCATAACTCCAATCGAGGTATGGTATGTCTTCGCTTAGGAGCGACTTTAGATCTGGCCATGATGAAGGCAACCTGTACTTGACCACTATCGTTCTCTGTGCGCAGATATGAGACAGACCCATAAGCCTGCTCAGAAGCATCACAAAAGATGTGTATCTGTCGGGTAACCTGGAACTGATCAGTGTCTGAAGATACAAAACAACGAGGCAAGGAGATGCTGGCTAAGGTAGGGAGCTCTTCTTCCCAGTCATTCCAGGACTTCAAAAGGTCATCAGGCAGGTTGGGATCATCCCATTCCCTCTGTTTATCCCACAACCTTTGTACCAAGACTTTAGCTTGTGTGGTAAATGGGATGATGAAACCGAGTGGGTCATACTGAGTTGCGAGCACCCTGTAGATGTGACGAAGGGTACGTGGTCCAGGCTTCACTGGTCGGGTTTTATACCCAAGGGTGTCTAATTGGCAGTACCACTTCAAACCCAGTGTGGATTCCTGTATTTCAGTCCGATCTTGCGACAACCACAATTCTGTACTGTTGGATCGTGCGTCTGTTGGTAGGTGCTCAACCACACTTGGAACATTACTTGCCCACTGTCGAAGGTCAAACCCACCACTGGCCAGGATTTGACGGAGTTTATCCACCAGTTGTCTTGCTTCCTCAGGTGACTGAAGGCTCCGCAAGCAGTTGTCCACATAGAAGTTCTTCTCTACTGTGACTCTGACATCATCATCGGGCTTGCTGTGATCTATGATGTGCTGTTGAAGGGCGTAAATGGCACAGCACGGGCTGCAAGTGGTGCCAAAGGGTAACACCTGCCACTCGTAGACATCAGGAAGTTTAGTTCTGTCAAGGTCCCGCCACACAAAACGGAGGAGATGTTTATCTTCAGGCAGAAGGCAGACCTGATGAAACATCCCCTTGATGTCACCACTTATTGCCACTCTGTGCTCACGAAAGCGTAACAGGACGCCTAATAAGGAGGGCCCTAACGCTGGTCCAGGCAGTAAGTATTCATTCAAACTGTGGCCTCCAAACTGGAAGGAACAGTTGAAAACCACACGATTCTTTCCATTATGATGAACCATATGGTGAGGAATGAACCATGACTCACCATCAGTGTTGACTTCTTCAGGGAGGAGTTTGCGTGCATACCCAGAGACCTCTAGCCTACCTATCTCCTCCTTATATGCAGCAGCTTTGATGGGGTCCCGTTCCAGACGCTTCTCTATACTCCTTAGGTTTGGTAGTACAGCCTCTTTAGAAGCTTGAAGAAGAGCCATGTCTTTCTTGCGAAGGAGTGGAGTAGCATATCGGCTAACTCCATCAACCAGTACTCTCCTGGTCTGGTTCTGTAGAAGGGTAAGAGCTTCTTGATCTTGTTTTGACCTTGTGAGCAACCCTTCGGACCTTATGGGTAAGATATCGGCCTGCCAGAGTCTTTCGACGTTCTGAAAA